AAGGCCACTTTAATCAGCTGGTGTGGTACCGACCCATAGGCGTTCTGAAGATCCAGCCAGACTATTGCTAAGTCCTTCTTCCCTGCTTTAGCTTCCTGTATCAGTTGTGACAGTATGCTTGTGTGCTCGAGACACCCTGAACACCCTGGTACGCCACCTTTTTGAATGGAAGTGTCAATGTAGTTGTTATCCATCATGTACTTCAGGAGCCGCTTGGCTTTTGCACATACAGATTTACTGTTCTTATGTTATTTTATATTGATAATGTCACGTCAGCATTCAGTCTCTATAAACGACCGAGCTGTGTGAGATGTTTTGAAGAAAAAAAATGAAATCGACCCTGCAAAAAAATCGATGAAAATAAGCGATGTCCCAAACAGCCACCATGACCGATGCCACCTACCCATGAACAGGTGACGTCATCAGAAATGACGCATCGTCCATGTTTCGTTACGGCCATTTTGAAAGAGGTTGACTCAGAGGGTCATCTGCTGTTATGGCCCATTGTAAACATGTTATCACATGGATGTCCATAACACTACATCACTCTTATTGCCCTGATACTTTCATTCATACTTTGACTGTTATATTTACGGTTAAATAGGTAGCTAAATGCATTCCGCCCATCCATATTAATTGGTAAAGATCTTACATTTGACGTTCATACATTACATTCATTGAGTCCTGTATATGATTTGCCTCGTGGCGTATGAAATCGTATGCCTACATTTAAACAATTCTTTGCCGTCAACCGTTTTAAAGTAATATCTCTACCAAAAACACTTCATCAAAACGTTATGAGGAATAACGTTATTTACAACCCTATGTGTTATCGGACATAATTGAGTGGGTCTTCATTATCTCTTTTATGACACATTTTATCATCCGTCATAAAATAACTAGAGCATCACAGTCGGCATCAACATTTACCTATGTGTATTCTAATGACTAGAACCACGAAATATTGAGTTAGAGGGAAGACAGAGGCATTCCATGGATGCATGTTTAGTATGTAAGATGCTATACGGTTATGTAGGAAACCCAGGTGTGGGATTGTCTCTGTTAATCTGGCGTCCGTGCAGTATTATTTGTCCATACTAATATAGGCTTTGCCTGCCACGCTCTGATTATCCACTCCTGTACATGACATCTGCCGGCTGGATCTGAAATTGAGACGAGCGCGGGAGAGTTGTGATGCACCATTACCGTCTGTGGGTCTGTATGTAGAATATTGGTAGATTGGTGAAGGGGGGCTAGCTGGGGGTATGTATGCTGGGGTCTTGAATCTGTACGTCAAAAGGAGAAAACGGAGAAAAAAAGGAAGGAATGAGAAAGTACAGGAAAGGGCAGAAAGAAAGATAGATGCATAGATAGATGCATAGATAGATGCATAGATAGATAGATAGATAGATAGATAGATAGATAGATAGATAGATAGATAGATAGATAGATAGATAGATAGATTACAGTATCCATTTAGATTACAGTATCCATTTAGATTACAGTATCCATTTAGATTACAGTATCCATTTATACATGTATATGATTTAACTAATGATACAAATAACTTTACGTTAATAAACTAAAATTGCACTAGACTAACTAGGGTTCCACATAACATAACGTTACATCACTAATCCTAAAGGAAAAAATGCGCATTACAAGCAAATGGAGGACCTTCAATAAACTGGGTCGTCAATTTAGTACAGGTACGGCCCAGCATTAGACGTTCCTAACGACGCTTCAATCATACTGAACTGTGCGCGCCCTCCCGACTCTGACATTGACAGAACCGCGATCTTCAGGGATAAAATATGACGGCCCTCCCCTCCCGCCTCCACCTGAGCGGCTCTCGGTATTCCCCGGCGACCTCCCCTGATACTCCCCTCCTCCCACGCCGCCATCCCGGCTGACAGGTAAATATCGTCTGTGATGAGGAACGGGCGGGTTCACCGTACAGCCAGCTGAGCCACAAACATCACAAAGACTCCAGCCTCGTCCAACCAACGCACTGATCCATCATGTCTGAACTGTGAACGGCTTTTTTCTCCCACACTTCTTCCGGGTGGCCAGTCCTGAAAAGGACCCTTTCTTTTCGTGATCATCTAATAACTTTTAGAGAAAGGAGGGAGTAACACTGATATTTGAGGTCAGTTTTAGAAAGAGAACTTTTTGAGGGAGCAGTATGAACATGTTTTTACAATCATCAAAAGGTGGCTGGTTAGATCCCATCCACATGTTGTAAAGGAACCGAAGGAAAACAGTTTGTTTTTACTCTGTTTCTTCTTCTCCAAACCAAAAAGGTCAATGACCTGAACCAGACGGCTCTCACCATGGTAACTGGTGTTGGGTTACATAATGTTGCAATTCTATAGCAGGAGGGATTTAGACTCCTGTCTGACCATATACAGTGTATATGAATGTGTTTAAGTACGAATTAACAGAGAAGACATTATGTGAAGCTAAACATTATGCATTTGCTTTTCAAATGTTACCTTTCTAGTTTCTCCATCTGTTTCCATGAAGGTATGTGTGTGTAGGAGTGCGGCGGGGGTGTGGAGGTGACGGGTATACTGTCTCCGTCTGCCCGCGTGAGATAATGAGCCACCTGGGTGCACCATTAGTCATGCATCACGGAGAAACTAAATCTAATTTTCATATCATTCCAACATAAACTCAGATTTACTATTCTCGTTAGCTAGCTAATACAGCTTAGATGAGGCGTTTAGATTGAGACTATTTCGAAGCAAAACGTACCTCTCTCATTTTGTTGTTGACATTTTTATACAAACTACAAATTATTCACATATACAAAATGCTTTAAGGGTTATATGCTTTTTAACGAGATAAGCTACTAAAAACGTCTCTAAGTGATCATTTTGTATTAATAGTTCTTTGCGGGTTGTACAATTGATTTGAACATAAACTGAACAGCTGGATGTGTAAAAGGCGTATAAAAAGTCTCGTTGTAAACTATACACGGACTTTCGTGAAGCGTTTTTGTATTCTTGATTATACACGGAACAGTAGATAAATCATGAAAGGTACAGACAGATAGAAACTTGTGGCTATAACGCTACTACTCTAAGAAAAGAGATTGGAAGGAAAAAAATTGGGGAAAGCGTTGTACCAATCACATGTAGAATCAACCAAAAATCGAGCAATGACGAAGTAATTTTTTGCTTCATTTCACTTCTTCATAAAATCACCACCGTGGGAATAGGAACACATAAAATAGTATACCCAGAAAAAAAGCGAAACCACTTTTAGGAGAGAAATTTGGATATTTGTGGCAGTACACAAAATCTGTGACTTTTATTTACCGGTTTAATCTATGATTTGGATTGGCCTGATTAGATAATTAGTTTTGTTGATGCCTACTACTCTGCAAATTGCCTAGTTGTCACGAACATTGTTTTATGCGGCCGTTCTCTACGCATAATTTGATACTTAAGCGCGCACTCGTTTCCCAGCTTACCTCTTGGATGGATTTTTTACTGCTGTGGAATTTAATGCTCTAGCGATTTGTTCGTCTGCCTCTGAAAGAACCAGGTCGTCGAGCTACGGTCGGTTCTAAAGAGAAAACTGAACCCTTCGTCAATGCAGGTGTTTCACAACAATTCTGTATTATTATGTTCTTCAACATCTATTTCTCATTGATGATTTCCTACTATCTTTATCAGTTATCTTTTCTAATTTTTTTTACTCCATCCATCCATTATTACATAACATGCATATGCATGGCATACTATAGCTAGATTATGACTGGCCAAACCCACAAGTAGACAGTGTTGAATTACCAATAGTGCAGTAATCAAGCGTATATGTAAGGTGGTTGAAGAATATCAACCCAAACCAAAAAAGATAACACTTCAATTCACCAAACATTCACCCGTGAAACGTAGCCTAAGAAATATGAAGTAACTTTGATTCACATAGTCTTGGTCAAGACTTTCAATTTCACATTTGGAGACAGAGTATTGATTTTGACCTTTCGTTATTGAAACAACAGACATGTTTTTTCCCATGATCTGACAAGCTATCTTCGTACGTAATGCGTACTGAAAATGCCAAGGTCACATTTACAAATCGGGGCCCGGCCGGGCAGTCTTCTTGAACGAAAAGTATGATATAAAAGACAACAAAGCACAAAAAAGCTGGGAAAAAAACTAATAATGGGATCTATTTGCGTATATTATTGATATAACTTGTTGATTTTTTTTTTCGTTAATCGAAACAGCCCGGCCGGGCCCCGGTTCGGAAATCCGCAAAACCTCAGCAAAACGGAGGTCTTCACGGATACCGCTGCATGCTGGGAGACGCGGGACACTGTGGGTAGCGCAGGTAGCAAACAGCATCATTACCATGACAACATTTATCCGGTCTTTGTTGTCATGGCAATGAATTTCTCTGCCCCCTGCACTACTCAAAATATGGCGCTTCTCCCTGCATAAAATTGGTGCGTTAAGGTCTGTTTGCTTGCAAGTCTGTAGCAATAGCAATCTATTGAGACGTATACGTTTCCGTTAGTTCATTAGTATGTTATTGTAGTAAAAAGGTCAACGTTCTTCTGGGAATGTTGTAGACTTAACAATGACGTTATAGCTGTAGTCACCAAGGAACACAAGGCCAATTAGAGAGGAAAGGTTAACAAAGTTTATGGCCCACCCCTACCATGAATGGACTAGGCAGAGCCCATATCGATGCAGTATTCCCTGCCCATGTCTACCCGACTTTTACCTAGCTTAAAGACCTCAGTATTTTACGACGAATCTCCGAGGCATTCAATGAGGCAAAGATATCAATTTGTCTCGGCCAGGTCCATCCAAACAGAGAGAATAGTGGCTCAAGGCTATAAAACTAGTTTGTGTTGGAATTCTTAAGGGAAGACCTTGGCATGCTGCCCTAAACGACGTTAGAACAACTTATGACTCCGGTAACAACATGCATATGCACGCATGCCCCGCAAAACACACACACGGCAGAACGGATCGGGTTGACAGCACACATCTATCCACTTTACTGCCGCGCTAAATCCTGGATGGGTACTTAATGTGATGACTATGAAGCTCCGTCCACACAAAGGCTGCTGGAAGCTCCAATCGGACCGGTGATGATGCCGATCAACCCGCAGGCCTTTCACAAGCCGCGCTGAGATCGATCATCGGACCGGGCCGCGCTACCCGGGGGCTTGGGACTGAAATGTGCCTTGATTACCGGGTAGCAATCTGAATTGGTCGGGCCCGATCTTTTATTTACACGCTGGTGTAGGACTGGCGGACAGGGGAGCGGAGATGGCGGGAGTGTGGGCGGGTTTAGCGGTGTTGGTCCTGGCGGTGTACGTGAGTCCGGGCAACCTTCAACAACTCAGTCCGCAGGAGTTGAGCTTGTTGGGGGCGAACAAGAGCAAGGGGCTAGGACAGAACGGGAATGGAGAACATCTTCACAAGGAAACTGTGGACGGAATATCGGGATCACCTGCCTCCGAGCGCCACAAGTTAGCTTCTGGCGGAAGTAGCCCGGCACCAACGCAAAATGGTTCACCGGCTCGCGAGAACAGAGGAGGAGAGACGATACGAGCCACGGATAGAACGCGCACCGAGTCATCTCTGTTGAATCAGCGGCAGGATGACCCTCACGTGCCGCCCACGGTTTCTACCGGTCCCCGCTCGTCACGGAGGCGGTCAGGAGGCCGGAGGAAGGCGGGGAGGGTGAAAGAACGGCGCAGACATGGGCAGCGCCAAAGGGTCTCAACTCATCAAGCATCCCCCGAGAAAAATCAGGTAAAGACGACCCGCAAGACGGGTCAGCGAAGGAACGCGCCTCAGGGTACAAGTCAGAGGGAAAGAGAGCACCCGTTACTTCGTGGTCATGCAAGCAAGAAAGAAGGGCGAGGGGAAATCATTAACCCTGCGTCTCAGGGCCAAGGAGCTGTACAGAGAGCAGAGTTCCCGCCGCCAGGCAGGCCAGAACAAAGCCAGCACACGTCGGAACCAACTCCCGGTGACATCCGTCAAACCCCGCCGTACGGGCGGCAGGAGGCCGGGCAGAAACCGCACAGTCAGGCCGCGGAGCAGGTGGGCCGCAAACCAGCCGTGCAAACAAGTATTGTTCAGCCATCTTCCAACACTCCAGACCAGACGCCTCCCGAGGTATCGGTTCATGCAAGAGAGAAGGAAACCGATGTAGATCAATCGAATTTCGATAAGCAACAGTCTCTTAATCTTGGAGATCGGAAGCTCGGAAACAAAGGCGGACATTTCGGCTCAATAGGCGATCAGGGCAGGTGGAGCAGCCAGGATGACGCGTCGCCTTCTAAAGACTCACAGAACACCCCTGTCGCCCAGCAAGGTGTTCCCACAGACGACACTGAAGAAAACGGACCAGTCTACGTCTTCACACAAAACGGGAAACCCCCATCCATGGCCCAAGATAACCGAAACACACCTCCCAAAACTCGACAAGAGAACTTTACCGAAACAAAGGACACCGTGCGGGTTCAAGGTCCACAACAGGGAGCCCCTCTTTTAGTAGAACCCACCAAGCCGGCTAAATCTGAGAACATTAACGCTCAAATAAAGCTAAACAACCGTGCTTATGACATACCTGTAGGATCTAAATCTGTGAAAAAGAATACAGACGAAAGCGGGCAAGCTTCAAACGCGGTTAAACCCTTCGCTACCGGGAACAAGCGGAAAGAACCGCACGCCAGGGTCGTGGTCGGCATCGGCAGAGACGGCAACACTCAACTAGAAATCGTGGGCGGGAACAAAGCTTCCCGCTCAAAGAACACCACGAAAAACAAGCCCGTAGAAATCGACCTCAACGAGACGACGAAGAAAAAGAAAGAAACGCCGAAAGACAAACAAGGAACGCCGAGTAAGGAGACCGATTTGAAAGACCCAAGCAGCGCAGCGACTCAGCAAGGTTCGTTGAGAAGCGAAGCTAATGTCGCTCATACCAGGTTTATTGCTAGCCTACTCTCTGTGTCTTTAACCTTTCTATACCTCTGTTACTAACACTGTATGTGCTCTATACTTTTTATACACGTAATCATGCATACGATATATACGTTTTGTGGGAAACGACAATGTAGTCTGTCGGTGTGGCCAAAACTTGCTTGCTTGTTTGATGGTGAAAAATGAGTGAAGTCTGAAAAAGCAACTGTGCAATATTGGTAGGCTCGGGTACAGGATGAAAATGCATTGCGTAGTGTATTGTATGTTGTACTTAAATGGCAACGGGATTGTGACGTGGTGATTTTGTACAGCACTGGCTGCATGTGTACATCTGAATTATAAAAGCATCACGAGTCATTTGCATGTAATCAAAGGAAAACATTTATGAAATTGCGATGTTTGAACGGTGACTAAAACTTCATCAGCCCACTACAAAACTGATGATTCATTTAGGCCACAGCAAGTCAATGTTTTGGATGACATCTGCAGATTCAACATCTAACACGAGAGCGCCAAAAATGGATAAAACGCTGTAGTAGGAATTTATAAAGTGACTTAAATGGTATCATTACAGAGTCGTGTATTAAGTTGGGCCGTAAACTACACATTAGCTTCCTGTCTTTGGGAAGTGCAGAAAGTGACACTAGTGAGGTAGCCTGGCATCACTACAGCTGACTTGCAAGGCTAAGGTATCGCCAGAGGGGAACGACATATCTTTCTTTGTTTGAAAACCAGGCGAAAATCAACGCTCACTGGGACGTCACCCATAAAATGTACTTGCTGTGGCCTTACACTAAACGAACAAAGCTTGTGAGCCCTAGCCGCAGGGACATAGAACAGAATCTCTCTATCATAAGAAAATGAGTATGTACGTCGTTCAAAACTAAGCCTATGCCTCTATCTATTGATTCACAGCCATATAACAAGATAATATCGACATTTTATGGCGCCTTGGCTAAGGCCCGGGGCTTATATCATATTTGAGTCGGAGATATTATCTTGCCTGGCGGGGAACCAGATAAAGTACTTTATCTCAAAATCCTAACCATATCGCTCTTACGGCAGTTGGTTATTCATCAGATATGGGTGAGTTCGCACGCCCTGTATGTTTAACCGGGTGATGAGTTTTATTAGATGTCCAGATCACGATGCACATGTCGGGCGATCTCTGGGGCACCTCATTACGACGACTTTACGACGTATTACCGGTCGTGAAACCGATGTGTACTGTTACCCGTCCAAAACAAGATCCATCGCTTCTGGGGGGAGTTACATGCCGACTCCCTGGGGAACAACATCGCCTCATTAACATTCAGGACGTCACGTCACGTCTGACGGAGCCGGTATCACAACGTACATCGGAATAAAGCAGGATTGATAAGGCTTATACACTAAACCGCGCGGGTTGGATGGGAAAACTTTAGACATATCCATCGCAACCTCCCAAATGTGACAGTGCATCCTAACAAGGCACCGATTTTGTTGCAGCTCAATTACGTAGAGGGTAGAAATCATACATATTTGATGCAGACTGGTTACTAGTAGTAAATATTGTAGACTGGCTGCCAGGTAGCATTTTATATTCCCCACACATGTACATCGTGTTGGTTTATTATTATGATACCCAAGTATTCTAGCCCAGACGTCCATGAATTTGAAATAAAGAAGAAGAGAGAACTCCGGCAACTAGTTGCGTCGTTTTTTCTTGGTAGACGTTTGGCTTAAAGAACGGATGAAACATTTATAGTATGTAAAAGTTACGACTTGATGTGGAGGATAATTGGACCCGATGTCGTTAGGACTGTTGTGTTCGTCAGGGGAGCGGTGCTTCCGCAGTCAAGGCGGCCGTTATACACGGGCTTACGAGTGAATTTCGCCCATCAAGTCAATCAAGCGACTTCTGATGATATAAACTTACGAGCTGCGAAAAGACTTCCTGACGGATTGATATGAGTGGATTTGAGGCCTTTAGGAGTTGTAATGGAGCTCGACAACCGTGATAAAAGTGAGACGTATTAGATTCCACTGTGTGGTATGACAGGATCGTGAGGTTACGGGTTCGATCCCCAGACGTTAGGATAGGCATTTAAGTTTTAACATAACTTTCCTCACTCCACCCACTCGTATTTCTTGTGCGTTTTGACGAACACAGAGCATATCTGTTCTTATATTTCCATCACTACAAAGAACGAGAAGAAGCCGAATATTTATAGAAGCGTATAGTACTTTACCCATTCTAGCCTGTATGAATGTTAACTCGACCTTCGTTTTGTGGTCTGTGCTCAGCACTATGGAGGAAATATGTACAACAAAGGTCTTCTTCACTTATTAAAACGTTATTGTGACACAAAACAGACTGATAGTTTCATACTCTTAGCTATCTAAAGAAAGACTACTTTTAAAACAAAGGTGCGGGTATAACCCTAGCAAGAGCCATGGACCGACAAGTCAAATAGTGCTCATTTTCTAATCTCCAATCAGATCCTAGGGTGGGAAAAAGACAGTATCAAATTGGCCAGAGAGGGCCCATGCGCGACCCAACCAAGGTTGTTGTTTTTTTTTGGGGGGGGGGGGCGACAAAAAAAACCCGACCATATATGAAAAGGTAACAATCTTCCCCCATCAACCTCTGCTTGGAGGGCACTCATTTTCTTCCTGACTCAGAATATGAATCACCATGAGAAACACTGCCCCCGTCACCCCTGAGCGGTGCATCATCACTAGGCTCTGGCGGCGCTCAGGCGTGAAACGAAGTGACCGTTGGTTGATACAAGGGAATAACAAGCCAATTACGCCTGACGTCGACCAATCAGCAGCGGGCGTGCCGTCACCATGGTTACAAGCTAGAGGAGGCGGCGTCGTCTGGAGAGATGGAATATTTGATTTGATCTGATCTGATTTTTGTTCATTTGCACATATACAACGAAACACATAATCAAGTAATAAAACATGGACAAATATGCCAGGGGAGGCATGAAACCTTAATTTTTACGGGCCTCCCCCAAACGAAATGGTAAATAATAATAGTTACATTAACAAGAAATCAAATTATGATACAGAATAACTAAAATACATGATCTAGCTATAGAAACTTATAAACATACGGAATATCGACAAAGCGCTTTGCATAAACAGAACTTAGGAACTTGACTTTTACCCCAAATTTCTTGACAATATAGATCTGTTGCATTTGTATAATTTCGGTGCAATTTATGATTCTGAGAGTTTCGTGTGCATCCAGGGCCAAAAATCACAAAAGGTCGAATATAAGTGACCCCATCACATGTTGCATTATCCATTGATGTGGAATCGCGTGCCAGCTATAGAAGCTTTGCTAGGGGTTGAGCCACTAATACAAAGGTCGGTTATGAAGTGTACCTGTTTCAATGAAACAGTCTGTATCCCATCTCTACCTATAGTACCCCATTGATAGAGTATTTCAGACATAGTTTTAGAAATAGCTATAGTTTTAGACAATTACCTTTTATTGTGTAAATTCAGTACTCTGTTTCAATGTCCTTTTAACTTTGTTATTTGCAACTAACAATCGGGCAGGAATTTGCAATAAACCTAGCATTGATAGAGGATTTCTCAATACGATATGTAGGGTTACCATATATTAATATGTCACAATGAAGTGATGGAGGCTGGCCTCACACTGTTTCACGTAGCATCGAGAATCAGAAAGAACCCAAAACCCCCTGTTGATCCTCTCAACTCCTTTGCCAGTAGGGGTGACCTAGATGCACCTAACCCCCAGGGTATTGAAGCGAGGGAACATTATAACAGAAGAATTCGTACTAGTAATGACTCTACGAGAACGTGAGTAGAAATATGTCATACACGGGCATCCTGGAAAAAATGTATACCAAAATTTAAAGCATTATCATTGCCAAATCGTGCAAAAGTACATCACTGCAGTACTACGTTTTCCATAAGGTAAAATTGATGTGCATTCCATTGATACCCTAATGACATCCCTACAGTCATTTATCACAGAGCAGCATGATTTTAAACGACTGTTTGTCCTAACCCATTTGGTCAACTGCGTGATAAGAGTTCAAGATAAGAAATCAGAGCACCCAAGACATAAGAAGTATCAATCTAGGGCGTCTTAGAAACTACACACCTTCTACTTTTAAGCTACATAAGAATATAATCCCCTAACGTGGTTATGTTGACGTATTCTAGATGCTGTAGGTACTAGCAGGTACATAATATAATCTCTGCTTGCTCAACAGAATTTGTTACATTTCATGTTATAGGTAAATTCAATTTCATTCTAGAAGGTACTAACAATTACCGTGTACAATTAAATAGGTAAATATATCAATATATAAGTCATATATCAATATATAAGAATGTTTAAACCTTAGAACAAGTAGTATAAGTTGATTCATCTATTGTCTTGTACGTACCAGGTTAATTTAGTTGCACCCACGTATTTGTCTGTAGTTTAAGACCTTACGAAAGTCGCTGTACTTTTGTTGTGTCAATAAAGTTCATAATATTCCCAGGTGAACGGACCCGTACGGTGAGTACCCAAACACAAGCAGTACCAATTTAAGGCGTCTTAAAAACTACAAACTTTCTACGTTTTAAGCTACAAATGAATACTATGCAAAGGCACAGGCAGAGAAAATGGCTAATATTTACGGATTTGTAAAGGAAGCGTAAAGATATGAAATGTGTTTACGTCGTATTTAAGCACACTGAAAGGTGACGAAAAGGCGGAATTTGGCTTTCAGCAGCCTTTACGAAGTCGTAAAGTCTACTGAAATATTTTCTCAACTTTGATACTTCTTTACATATTGCGGAAAGTTTGCTTAAGTGTCTGTTTTCGTGCTGTGTAGGCACTCAGTAGAGAGGGTTCATCATAACGACCTAAACGCTTGCATATTGCAGATAACCAGTTGTTTCCGGTCCATGAAAAACGACGTCAACTCGGGCATGTTTGAAATGGAAATGACGAACATTACTATTCCCTGTAGCTGGTCCGAATCGATCCACAGTTCAAAAGGTGGCCGTCGTTTTTCTAAGGTGAATTCTGTGAAAGCCTTTAAAGGGCACGATGCTAACGGTGCATCTGAAAGGATATAGTAGCCGCAATCCTTCTTGCAGTAAGGAAAGTGGCATCGATATACACAAAATAAACGTCCGTCCCGTCGTTTTGCTTATTAGACAGGCAAGTAATGCTCGAACTTGTGGCTATGTCTACGTATTCTAGATCGTAAGTACCACTAGTAAATGAACATAATATTCCCATGTGAACGGTGAATACAATCGATATCAGTTTAGAGCAAACGACAAGTTTCAAATTGAAATGGATAAAGGAGAGGGCCGTTAAGCCGACGACACTCTGGGTCTCTGTGAACGACTTTCGGCTGAATGTGCTGATCGACAAAAAGGTTGCTAAATTTCCAAATTGTTGGAAAGTCGGCAGTATTTTTCGCCTGAAAAATCTACCCTGTTGAAATTGGACGGCGCTCGGTGACCTGCAAAGGTCGGCCGTCCCTTGACAATCGCACAGTGATCGAAAGGACACCTGCCGTATATATTTTTTTATTTACTTCATGTTCGCCACAAAAAAAGGCTGATCGATGGAACCACTCAAATGTTTTAGGTTACTGTACAGACAGTGAGGATAGATGTTTGTTGACCTTAGACTTGAAAAGTTTCAGTTATGCCCATATGGAAACAATCACGTAGTAGCTTGTTCCATAGTCATGCTGTTCTACTAAGGAAAAAGCTTTCAGCGTGGAACTTCCTCCTAGGAGGTAGTGTATTGATGTGCCTTTGGAAATCACAAGCTCGTCAGCCGAGCTATTCTCCCGCTGTGTGACTCTAGTTTTATGGAGAGTTTTACGTCCAGCCATTGTGTGGTTCTGAAATGCCCCCCGTGCCTGTTATAGCCTGCTGTAACCGCCACAGGTCACTACCATGTACCCTGACAACATCTAACCTCGCTAACCTGTAATTTTCTGCTTCATTTATCACCCAAATGTTTTGTTTTAGGCGCCACTTGGGGTCACTCAAGGTGATAGATCGGTAGGTTCGGTCGGCAAAGTTTTACGTACGAATGTGATTGTGGGGTTTGAATAGTGCTTTTATCGCCTGCAATTTGGTGGTAAGGCGCTTTCGCCGGGCGGATTTTCTGCGACCTAGCCTCTTTAGAAGACTCCACAGGGCAAGCAATTTTCAACTCGGGTTTAAAATATGCCTTTTCCCGGTTGTATCTAAGTTGCGATTTTACCCGTTTTTCCAAATATGGGCTTTGGCTTCCAAGAAAACGAGTACAATCAGAATAATATTACTATACAACCAGAAAAACTACATTACATTAAACGCAATGCAGTACAATCTGCTATGGAAGCTACCTGTGACCAAGGGAGTGAATAGATTTCTGATAGTATCAATTCTTTTCGTGACTTTTCGGGGCTTGGGTACGTTCCCCTTTCGTTATAATTGTGTCAGAGAAACCTTTTAGCGCAACACGAAAGTAAGTAAACCAGAGTGCGAGAACAGAAGCGTTGTTACGTAAAGTGGACGGTACTGAATAATCGAATTGACTTCTACTAAAAAGGCCAACCTAATGAAATTGTGGCTTCGTAATTAGTGGAACGAAGGTCTGTCTATTGGAATTCATCATGTACTCAGAGGAAGGTACAGCACCAGAATTTTAGCACCAAGGACAGGGAACAGGGCTTCAGCACTAAGGACAGGGAAAAGGGGCTTTGACAGTACTAAGGACAGGGAACAGGGCTTCAGTACTAAGGACAGGGAAGGTCCTTCAGCACTAAGGACAGGGAACAGGGCTTCAGTACTAAGGACAGGAAACAGGGCTTCAGCACTAAGGACAGGGAACAGGGCTTCAGTACTAAGGACAGGGAACAGGGCTTCAGCACTAAGGACAGGGAACAGGGCTTCGGTACTAAGGAAGGGAACAGGACTTCAGTACTAAGGACAGGAAACAGGGCTTAAGTACTAAGGACAGGGAACAGGGCTTTAGTACTAAGGACAGGGCTTCAGTAATAGGGACAGGGAACAGGGCTTCAGTACTATTAAAGGACAGTTGCTGGTCACAGAAGCTTCCCTGAAAGTCCTTGAAAAGACTTGGGAGACAGTTTGCACAACGCTGCGTAGGATTGAGTACGCGATCTTGCCCGACACGGTCTCGCCCCAATGTCGAATTCCACACCGCCCCGGCTGACTAATCCGCCCGGACGCCGTGTATCATATCACCGCCGCACAGATCCGGCACGCACACACCGCTCCCAGGGCCGGCTGCCATCTGTCCACCTCCCGATTAAAACCTTTCAATAACCACCTCCATCCGCGGCATAAGCCGGTTAATTAAAACGGGATTTGGGATATAATGACGTTTCATGGTGTATTTGGTAGAAAACGTACACCCGTGCGATGGAGAATTTAATCCAAGGTGACATACACACCCTGAAACACACCCTGAATGCCAATGAAGTCATCTGTACAATTTTCCAAGGCCAAACACGAAAGAACCCTTTTCGTCATAATGAAGTATACCAACACAGATGAACTTTCATGCTATGAAAGAACCATTTTATACCGTGAACATTCAATTTGGCTATATGGTATTTCCCGCAATGCTCCACGTTCGTTCAGAATAAAGAAGCAGTTGATTAGCTCATATATATGTCGTTTTGTGTTGACTTATGACAAAAAAGAAGTTGAAAACATGTCAAATATCTCCACAGAGGGGACAATACTGAGCGACAGTGTGCAGGCTAGAATCTATATCGTAAGAAACAGGCGGATTTTCTGACATTTCACTTCCGTCATACATAAGCTACCGATCATTGGCCCCCTCCTGATCAATACACTGTTTATACAGTCAGACAGGCGACAGAAACGGCAACTTTTCACATCTATAACTGTCATGATGCATATTGGCGTTACGGTTTTCATCTCGCACACTTGGTTGTTTATTTGTTTATTGGGATTTTCCACAAACTGAAACTGAAAGAGAAGGCAAAACAGGTGCATACACACCTTTACAAGTTCCCCTCCCCCATACAAAAACACATGCACAACATTTACAGTCAGAGACAGCAATATATAAAAATACACAAAACAGGCAATAAATATAGTAAGTTAAGCATAATGCGACAAGATGTTAAATCCTGTGTGACCAAAAATCACTGAAGATGATATCGGTACGTATTGTAGCACTTGCTGACGTAACCATTACGTTGCGCCTGTTGCTACTCCCCATCCAATAATTGTACACATTTTTACCGTTTCGCTGCTGAAGGAATGCCGTTCATACAAATAAGCTTCAAACCACAGGCCATTATAAGTGTCAGATACACGCAAATGAAGTGCTAGAGCTCATGTGGCGCAAACTTCCGCCTCGAAGTTACTCTTAAGTAATCGTCTTAACATTAATATCTTCCTGCAACAACGCGTAGGATTATTTCCGGTTCTCATACTAGTCATCTTGGTTATTTGGTTTAGCCATGTTGATTTGATTATATGGATGACATCCTCTGGGAACCCCAAAACTGATGCGAGCGCGCGAATAAAAAAAAGGTTTGCAAAAAAAAGTTGCTTTAATTTTGAAATCTACGTGGTCATGAAGGTTGAACACATGACACAGAGTGTGGTATGGCGAACTATCTACTCTTCAAATTCATTTCTTTACGTTTTCGCCTTTATTTTGGCATTCTAAGACATTGGTATCATTTGCCAATATATTTTCTTCGCAACTTACGATATATATTTGCTCATTTTGCAATGTTTTGCACGATTTACAGTATGGTTGAAAACTTTTTTTTGAAATGGTCTAAAATTCGTGCGCGCATCTATAATAATCAAATCAACATGGCCTTTGAGATTAAAAAGTAATTCTCCCACACTGCTCCTCTGACGTTGGATGAGAATCGCGTGGCGTGCGGACAGGTCTGTTTTCCCACGACCTGCTAATGGATAGAAAGCCGGGACTGCACGAATTCCCACCATTGGAGAGCATTACGTGTGTTGTATGTTATTCTTAAGTTGAACTCTGAATCTAGATTTGTCACAAAGTCGAATCAAGGGTATAAAGGGTTAGGTTTGTTTGCTTACTTGTTTCGTATATGGGTAAAATTATGCCCGAAAGCGAATAAAAAAAACCAGAAGTTTTGTACCTTGTACAGTGAGTACACGTGTGCAACACTGGACTGTAAGGTTTGATTCACCAACATGTCAAGAACTGTGTGGCCCAAGGGCGACAGAAACGGAGATGGGCGCCGCCTTATACACAAAAAGGCGGGAAGGAAGTTAACTCTTAACACTATAGGTAGAGATGTGAACGTATATAACACCAACATTGTGGAGAAAATACTAGTATTACCATGTATAAGCAACGTTATCTGTCTGACTTTCGCTTTGGTAGCATACCCCACATATTGCTATCAGGGCGACTGTATTATGCTCTGCAAAATCCGTACAGTCTTCCCACCCCAGTGACATCACACTGAGCGGTGCATCGTCAAATCTCCTCTCGTTTGGCCTTCCTTCATCCCGTACGTGTCCGTTGGTGATTCCCTGTAAAACGCTGACCCTTCTAATCCCCTGCCACACATCCCCCGCGCCAAAACACACCGTTATTCCTCGTTTTTCAAGCCGCTTTGCGTCCATTACTCGCCGTATCCGCGAGATCCAATTTCCTTGTCCATGGCCTTGAAGCCATGTCTGCTGTAATGCCTGGTTTACCGGCCAGATTTTGGGGCCAGTCCCGGGAAGAGAAGTAATAGTCTCCCCTTTAATCGCGCACGCCTGGCCTTACATTATTCACCAGGCCTGAACCATTGATTGGGACATTTACGTCGCAGGAGCCCATTCTGTGTTTTGGCAGGGAATGGCCGCCATTTCTGATGGGTATGTAGTCACACAAATTGGCCGTTTGAGCGTTCTAAAGTAGTGTTTCACAAATGTGACTTTGAGAAAATATGTCAGGAACATGCCACGAATGCAGATCAGAGTTATAACGGTATCCATATTATATCCAAGTACTACGGTTTCCTTGAAATATCCTATTCATTAATAAATTTGCAATTCTACGGACACTAAATTGAGAAAGATTGCAACGCCTTACACAGATTTGGTGTAATGGTACATATATATGGGCACGTATATACTACGACGTATTTTTATACAGAAAAATCAAACATCTTTCATCACATTTTATTTGTACCGATGATGCTCTAAATAATATGCATGTGTCTGTCAATGGCAGAATGGCATGTTATGTTGTTAACATATCACTTTACACAAATGTAAACATTTCTTTTAACAAAAATCACTTCATTTTCTTCAATATGATGAAAATGAGAAACACATAAAAGAATTGGTTAACATAAGGGAAAAAGAAATACAGGTCTGAAAAGAAACAAGAACAAATTATTTAAAAAAGAATCAAAGTATGGGTAAGCTTTGAATGTCATAATCAGTTCGAGCAATTTTACAATCTACCAATCACTTCCTTTGCACTAGAATGTACACCAACTTTTGTATTCTTTGAAAACTGAAAATTCAGCTTACTGGTATACAATAGCTACTTCAGGAGTTGAACCTTTTCTTGCCTCTTTCATCCTACATGCATGGTAATATTGCCTTAAGAAATGTTATAACTGCTATTCCCACACCAAAAATACCGGCACCACAAAAACACAGATTGTTCAAATACAAATCAACAGGATGACAATGTCTTTATTTCATTACTTGCGGATGTTTGTTTCAAGCAGATTACCTATTAATCCTATCCACAGAGGTACATTTGTACACAGGGTAGTAATATTCAACCTTCAACATATCATATATGATACCATGATGGATTTCGGTTTTAATTGTACTGACTTGAAACTTTTGAAAGAAAAAGGTGGCTTTAATATTCTATCTGAAAAAATGATACCAAGTTGAGAGGGGAGGTGGGCAAGAAAAAAAAAGGTTTTTGGGGATACTGGTTGAACTAAAGCAAAGGGCCATTAAATACTATACCCCTAAGGTTTCCCAATCAAAATACTCTACAGCTCAGGCCTTCTTTTAGGCCTTGTTTAAATCTATCAATACTGATTGTGACAGTAGGCAATTAGTAGACCTTTACCATACTTTTACAACCAACACTTTTACAACTGACACTGTCTACAAAAATGTATAACATACAGCGGTGTCCAATATCAGCCACTGCTGCCCACTGTACTGTGATGTTTGCAATTCCAATAAAACAAAAAGTACAGTAAAATCACTAATTAGACGTGTAACCTTTTTCCACTGATTTTTTTTACACACAACCAAGTAGACAGCTACAGAATTTGATGAGTGGTGTGTGTAGTTTAAGCATGAGTTTGTTCATGTTTAAAACTTTTAGGTGAGTCTCTTATTATCTTTTTTCCTGCTAAGCGTTCATCTGTATACCAACTTGTGTTCTGGTAGGTACTGATTTAAAATGCTTAGCTACCATTGCAAACTTGCTTACCTATCTAAACAACCACGTTGTGAAATGACTTTCCTGTACAACACTTTCAATTATACTGACATGTACACAACTGTTTCTTCTGTGTTTACGTACTGTACCGGTACATGTCCATACAGTGCAGTGCTCCTTATTTACAGTGTGGGTGTTTTTCAAATCCCTGATTACCGTAATGGTTAACTCTACCGTGCTCGTGGTATTATAAGGCATAAGGGGCAAAAAAGATGTAGGGATACTTGTACCGTAACTACTGTTTGGTGAAGAGGGTCTCTACATAGAGAGGCTTCTATGAATTGTCCTCCTCAAAGTACTTGTGAGTGTTGGGAAAACGTTCTGGCGTGTAGTTGGGGTCGTTTCTCAGCCGACGTCTAACACTGCTACGCACCTGTGGAGAAAAGAAACAGAGTAGAGCCATGCAGTTTTTATGTACAAAATGTTTTTAAATCTAACACTAGAGCATTAAGATATTCTGATTCTCTCAAGTGATCACTATTGAAATGCAAATAAGGACACCAACATGGCGGTCATCAGCTGTCTTATAGACAATTCAAAACTCTACTACTGAATAAATTATGGAGATTACCTCTAGAACAGTTTGGAGTGATGGATATAACTCGAAACATCCGGAAATAAGTTTGTAATTTATACAGTAGTAGAGTTTTGAACTGTCTATGAGACAGTTGATGTCCACCATGTTGGTGTCCTTATTTGCATGTCAATAGAGTTTGAATTGTCTATAAGCCCTATAGTACTGTTTGCCACTAACTGTTCATGACATTGCATCTTGTTGTACCTGCTGTTCATAAGCAGTGTGCAGGGTGGCGCTGTTCTCAGCCTCCTCAGTGAACTCCTCCATACTGGTGGTGGGCTGGACCCCGGAGGACAACACAGCCTGCTTCAGGGCCTCAGGGACGACTGATGACATCGAACCGATCTCACGCCCAGCGTGGGAGGTCTGTGTCATAATAGATATATTAAATCATGTTTGTCTCTTACTAAGTTTGGCGAAATATGTCATTTTCAAAACTTGATACAGTTGTGTTACCAATTGTATGTCAAGAATAGACTTACTAAGATGTTTAAAGATGAAACTCTTTATAAAGTGCAATGTAAAAATCAAATTTGTAAACTACAACGTCACACCTGTAACCTTTATGGTTCTCTGCTTTATTTGATACTCCAAAATGTCACTATTGTGTTGTACATATATTAGCTTTTATAGTACAGATTTTGTTATTGAAATAAAATGTGGAAAAAAATCATGGTGCGCACACAGTCTGAGAGATACAAATGTATACGAGCAACAAGAATCAAGAAGTAGAGGTTCCTACCTTTCTTCTCTTTGCAGGAATTCCTGTGGAGTAGGCATCACTGAATGGTGGCTGAGGCTGGAGGTTTCTCTGGGTTTCAATGTCCCTTTGTATGACCGGCACCCAATCCTGCAGAAAAAATCAGATATCTTGAATACTACGTCCGTAATATAATGAATGAGTGCAGGAACAATATTTTACGAATCCTGCATGTGAGAATAGCAGTAAAATCTTTCTATGTCAACAATTTTGGAAAAAGAAATACTATAGAAACTTAACACAAATGATGACAAGTCCTTGACCAACGAAAACTACAATATAGTTCTGGTCTACTCAATGCAGGGATAACTGACAGCCATAGCAGGTGTCATCACAAATGATGTTACCATAGCAACAAGTCTTCCACCAATGGGAAACTAGGAAGTTGATGTACTCACAGCTGGCACGACTGACTGCCAGGGCAGGCCCGGGGCACCAGCTGGCTCCTCATCATTATCCATAGCCTCAGATTCGGCGACACCATTCAGGGAGCCGGCTTCCTCACTCCTGCCAGCATTCTCCTGGGGGATAAAAAGTACACTGTTCTTTGGAAGGGTACTGTAAATTCATTTAAGTTTGCAGGGACTGAATTTCCCACTCAGGGGGAAAAAGGAGGAAGTTGTCATCTTTAATGTTCTCACTGGACACACAGAGTTCATTATGTTACAGAACAAATACATGTATTTGTTATACAATGATTTTGCAGGGAAATGGTCACTGCAAAAACAGTAAATATGAAAGCACTGCAGATACTGACAAGATTTCCAGTAATCTTCAATACTTCACAATTTGCTAATTAAGTCCACAGTTTAAAACTGACATTAAAAAACAGACCTTTCTGAATGGAAGATGTCTATACTGATAGATGTTTTGAATACCTGTGGTTGACTGTCTTCAGCATTTGCTCGGTCTCTTTTCTGCCCCTGGCAGCTACTGACTTCCTCTGCTCTGGTTGCCTCCTGTGAAACACTTTCTGGTGCAGGGGGAGCCTCCTCTGCAACCTATATACATGGTACAGGGGAACATTTCTTACAAAAACAATATCATCACTAGATAGCTTCAAATAATGACTGTTAAATGTTCAAAGGTTAGGTGCAACAAGTCATTTGGTACAATATATAGCCAGCTGTCACCATGCCGCGTACCTGCCAAGCAGGTATGTTACGCTGAGGTGCTGTCTGTTTCACCTGTTCAAAAAATCTGTAAGCAACTGTTACTTCTGTGTATCTTGAAAAGGTACAAACGTTTCTCACAGAATCAGGTGTTGCAGGTGCACCTGTTTGACACATCTGTAACCTACTGTTGCTTTGATAAGTCTTGAAAAGATACAAACATATCTCACAGCATCAGGTGCAGCAGGTGCACTGTCAGGTGCTGGCTGTTCCACCTGTACCGGCTGTGGCTCCCTCCTGATGTAGTAGTGCTGGATCTGGCTCTCAGGGACGGTGACAGTCTGCAGGAGGTTGCGCAGGTGTCCTGTGGACATCATCTGCATCCAGGCCAGGATGGCTGGGTTCACGTCACCGGCAAGCACTCTCTGTTACAGGAAGGGGGAGGGGGGGGGTAGATGTGAGGGCTATGCATTGTGGGTAACATATCAAAGTAGAAGGCCCCCGAAACATAAAAAAGAACACAATGGACAAGGCATCAAGAATGGTTTAGACAAGAAATGAAGAAGTTAAAGGGCCTTCATCTTTTACCTTGTGCTTCTTCTTCCCAAGACCTACCCACATACCAAATATCATCACAATCCATCTACAGCATCTGAACGTATGCTGACCACAAACACAAACAGACAGACTAAACAACACAACCTCCATTTGTCATGTAGGTAATAACATCTTTACTGAGCGATGTAGGTGACACTGTTACATACCAGCCTGCTGTTGACAATCCTCTCCACACCTCTCAGTCCGTCTGTGATACAGCTGGTGGACAGCCGCAGCCACTCCTGCACAGCCACGCGACAGGCATCAAACAGCCGCTGTGCAAACCCTGCATTATCGTCTGAAAACAACACATGACAGTTTATTGAAGATAGCTTTAACTGCAAACACTGCAAAAAAATCTGTCTCATATCCATACGGGTACTACTTTTCCCTGCTGCCTAGCACTTTGAGCAATACAAATTTGGTGCCAAATAAGACAACTTCAGCAAGGAGAAGGTTACAACAAAACCTTTTCTTTCCCTCTAAGTTGCAAATCCTTGCAGAAATAAATTATGTTCTCTAAGAATCCTCCCTGTTATTACACATATATTGTATACTCAATGTGACCCAAATTACCCTTTAAAAAGAATCAACAAATTCAAGGATATCTAAGGATTAGTTTAACCTAGCTGAAGTTTTTCCCAGTATCTGAGGTGGCGTAAAATTCTATTCTATTTTTAGTGTTGAAAAGAACTGTAGTTACCTGTTGAGTTGGCGATGATGTTCATGACCCTGTACATGTGATGTCTGCAGAACTCTGTGTGTGTCCTCACAAGGTCAATGTTGTCACGACCTTGAACTTGGGCATCGTTCTGAAAGGTGGAAATTAAGACTTAGTGATGAGCTCATGTATTCATGACAATGTTGGTGTGCCTTTATCTAGCCTTTAAAAACTCACATTCAGCCCAGTGACTGTTATGGTAAATAACGAATGGCACAGGAAATGAATGACCAAAATCAAGATGTAATCAGTACTTACAATGGCATCAGTGATGTAACTCTGCATACTGTCCAGTATCCTCCCAACTGCAGCCTGAAGGTAAGAAGAGACAATACATTTGTACTTGCTACAAGTCTGAATGTCTATGGTAGTTTTGTTGTCTAGCATCCTATACCATGTAGTGTAAATGGTTTCATGTTTGTAGTTTTTGCTCTCCAATACAAAATTATCATGATGCACATTAGCTGAATTTATTGGGTGAGTTTATAGTACAGGCTTCCTCTTTAACTTGCATACCTGTGCCAAAGATTTGTTTGGTACACAAAACTTATCTTCTTACCTGTATGTTGGCCTGTGTCGGTGGCTGGTCCTGGAGCTGCCGGGTCACAAACTGTTCCAGCTGGGGGCGGATGTTGGCCAGCGGGCCAGACTGACCAAAGAACAGCCTCATGAGGTCAAGGAAGGTCAAGCTGGTGGTCAGGAGCTGGAAAACCTCTGCCAGAAAACCTGAGATTCACAACAGGAGCATTGTTGTCAGGTAAACTCACTGTCGACATGTAAGAAAGTACACTTTTAAAATGTTTTATGTTATGTTACCTTTAATATTTACCTTTCTTGCCTTGACAATGGCATGATATACAATGTATGGCAACTTCTATCACTCAACAGCAATTCTAGAAAACTACTGTAAATAAAATATTCATGTTTTTTACGGTCAATTCTGTACTACAAATTTATCATTACCCCCATCAAATAATTCTTTGACTTTCTTTATTCTGCACCTGCCACCACAGAGAATACATGTATATGGTTCCGCGAAGTCAACATTTTTCTCAGACCGAGAAATTTTGCTAATGCGAATATAAAGTGATTTAAAGTAATCCATTGTACAAGAGACAATGTAGTATAGGATGAGACTACAATGTATACACTTGTACTGTCTTTGGAGATATTTCTAACACTTAGACAGTCTCTACATCGCATAAATGTACTGTCCTTTGACATTTGTGCCGACTCTTTCTCAAAGGCCACTTTTGCCAAGTCCCTTGAGTGCCTGATACTGACAGTTTGACTGTACTATTTTGGGAAGGTCATTGTTTTTATTTATTTAAGTGTAATAAACCAAAAGTATGATTTGATAGTGTAGAATTGTTCACCCTCTTCTTCCTGAATGTTGTACTCCGGACTGATCCTGGTCAGGAAGTCAGCAATGGTCTCTGTGGACGGCTGACCCACCGCGGCCTGCTGCATGAACCCCCCGATCCCACCAATCAGGCTGTGGAACGTCTCGTCTGACACGCCCACGCGCGGCTGCGGGGGCGGCGGGGGCGGCGGCTGCGATGGCTCGCTCTGATTGGTCGGCTGGTTGCCTGGGGAGGGTTCTGTGGTGGGACTGCCGGCAGTGGTGGTGGTGGTGGTGTTTGTGGAGGAACTAGACATGGTGGACTGGGACCCAGCCTGGAGAGGCGATTTAACAACATTTAAAATAAAAGTCAATTTCAAATCATTAGCATGAAAAGTCATATGCTTTTAAGAACCAAGCACTAAGTACAGTATGAGGAGGTAAAAAGAGGGCATCGTTCATCTCTGTTGTAGAAGCCACACAATTGTACATGCACAGCAGTTTCAAAACTCTTTCCCACATGCTATATGTATGTGCTGCGAATACAGTATGTGCCATTTTTTAAATATTCCAACATTTAATGACAAGACATGGTGAAGGCCACCAACATTTCTACCTGTGAGTGAAGTGAGCAAAGTTGTGACAAAGTGCCTTTCCCAAGGGCACAGGATCGTGGCACAGGATCGTGGCGTGGCAGTTTTCAAACCTTCTTGGCTCTGGGACGAACACTCTGCCATTACACCACATGATTTCAAAAGTCTTTGGGGTGGGAACCAGTGACCTACCTCATACAAGCACTCTACAAAGTATAATTCAGCAGTACTATTATTCATAAAATGTTCCTGTTGAAAACCTGCTGTGTCCGTACCTCCCTGATCCTGTCCTGCACAAAGTCCTGGAACATGGTGGAGAAGTTCTGAGCTGCCTGGGGCGTGGCCGGGGGCGGGGCAGAGGGCGTGGTACCCCCGCCAGACGGGGCGGGCGGCTGGAGGATGGCGTCAAACATGTTGACTATCGTCTGGGGGTTCAGCGGGGGCTGGGGACGGGCGGCCCTGCCACCTGTTCCAGGTGCACCGGCTTCAGCTGGAGAATGTATGATTTTTTTATCCTTTTTTTCTTTTTTGAATTCTTTCTTTTCAAAATAGAAATCTTCATTTCAAAATAGAAAAACAAATTCATGGCACAACAAACAAAATTTGTGACAAAATGCATGACAACAAAACTGATACATAAAACCAGGAGACACATTTTTTATCTTAATGAAGCTCAGTTGATACAGGATACTTTAACCTTCTGCCGCTAAAGTAGCCATTTGACACCAATCTGTATTGTTTACAGGGTTAGGTATCAGGGAGAAGGTTAATTTCAAAAATCATTTTCCATATTTAAAAGGCAGGTTAGTTGAGCCAAAATCAACTTTGACACATTATTACCAACAATACATGACACAGCACATGTGCAGTTTACACTGTGAAGAAGCTTATTGTGAGAGAGCACTTACGGTTGAGATACGGGTTCTGCTGCTGTATGAGTCCCTGTAACACTCCCTGGATCATGTCTCCCAGCTGCCGGTCACTGGTACCTCCTGCACCCTGGAGAAGGCATGGAGATGTCAAACTTACTTAAGAACTGCATAAACTTACTTTTAGCATTCCACAATACTATTAATTTGACATTATATATATGTAAGCTTGGTTAACGTTACAACATTGATGATTCAGCTGCCTTAGGATCTTGAAATGATATTACTAAGTTAGATTACCTCCAGAGGACTAAGTCATTTCATTTTATTTTCTGTTTAACAATTGTGTATCCACTGTATATGTTTTGTTCTTTGAATTTTATTCATTGTATTGTCGCATACTCCAGGAAGAATAGTGCGATTCGTAACACTAATGGAGATCTTAATAAAACAAACAAATGATTGATAAAAATGTAAGAGAAGCCATGATCCAAACAGCAATTGATACAAATAATATTTTAAACTTGTGACATGTGAAATGTTCCTGACAAAGGTTTAGAAAGACGTTAGGCATTGATGTTTATCATGAAAGTTCATCTGTGTTGGTAGTAATCATAGTAAAATGTTGAACTTTAGTCAAACACACAAATTATATAGAGATCAAATTTTCAGTGACCACTGTCGCCTTCATCAGGATAACTAACTATAACTCTCGCGAGATTACGTTATGAAGTGATTGGTCATTGATTATCCTGATGAAGGCGACAGTGGTTGCTGAAAATTTTATCTCTGTATAATTTTTGTGTTGGAATAACGTTCAACGTTTCACTATGACATTGAAGTTGTTGCAGCTTACTTGTGGCTGTGGTTGGGGAGGTGGGGCGGCCCGCTGCTGCTGGTTCTGACGGAGAACGAGGAAGTGGCGTGAAGAACACGGCAGGAAGGGGTCGGTCGGGTTCAGCGCGACGGTGCCTGGGACTGCCATGGGGGCACGACCCGGCTGGCCTCTGGTTAAGCGAGGCAGGGGGCGACCCATGTTACCCAGGGGCTGTGTGCTGGGTCTACCTGTACCTGTAGGAGAGTACATGTCACTTAGTAATAAAGTGGAAAGTAAGGACAGTTTCATCCATAGGATTTACATGCTTGTAATCCAGAATCTATAAAAAATTGGGTGGAAAATATCCTTCAGTCCAACTATTAGGATTTTACTATTAACAAACTAGAAAGGTAACATTTGCAAGGCAAATGCATAATGTTTACCTTCGCATATGGTCTGCTTGTTAATTCTTACTCAAACACATACATACATATGGGCAGACAGGAGTCTAAATCCCTCCTGCTATAAAATTGCAACATGATGTAACCCAACACAAGTTACCATGGTAACAGACACAACAATGGTTCAGGTCATTGAGGTCACTGTATGGAGAAGAAGAAGAGGAAGAAGAAACTGAGCAAAAAAACAATATGTTTTCCTTCGTAAACATAATAACAACACAATCAGCTTATCTTCACAAGCCCATAAACCAGTCAGAGAATGAAAAACTGTTCTCCTCCACAAATTTGTGTACCAATGGCTCACCGGCTGGCTGCTGTGTCGGCTGCTGTGTTGGCTGCTGTGTCGGCTGCTGTGTTGCCTGCTGTCCTGGACCCGGCATGTTGGCTGCGGCTGTGGCTGCTGCAGTGGCGGCTGTGGCTGCTGCAGTGGCGGCTGCAGCTGCTGCAGTAGCAGCTGTGGCCGAGGCGGCATGCTGGGATACCTGCTGCATGATCTGCTGCATGAGTTGGGGCGGGGCCATGGGGATGGTTCCTGTGGAGAACCTGGCACCTGGGGGGGGGGGCAGAGTAAAGATGCCATTACAAACTAAAATTCTAAAACTCTAAACCAATTAACAGCTGGGACAGGGGACCAATCAAGATCCTTCCTCTTGGTGACACAACTTAGGGGCAAGCTTCCTTACAGTAACAACAGAAACCAAATGATTTTAGTTTAGAAAAATGACCTCCTTTGTTCCTTAAAAAAACAACTTCCTTCCCCCAAAACACAGAGTGCAGTCAGAGCTCACTGCAAAAACAGTGACCTTAAAAACGACTACAAATATTTCTCCATTTACAGTAATCACATTGTTTGGAGACAAAACACACCTGCTGGGTTGGTGGTTGTTGTGAAGTGTCTGGTCACAGTTACACTCGGTCCTGGGGCGGAGGAGGCAGGGGGTGCACCCTGGGCGGTGGAACCTGCAGTTGATCCTGTTGTGCTTGTCCCTGTAGGCACACCTGTCAATCACATCAAAACTAAGAACCAGCTGAAAATGGCTCTGCCCCTGTGGCATTGCCAAAAAACATTAGGGACCCAAAGGGCCTAAAGACTGAATCATGAATGTACATCCATTCTTCTTCTTACATTATAAGTATATGTTAGGCGGTACCCCAGGTGATATGGATCAGTTTATAACTTATGTAATGTTTATGACTCCAAGAAGACAATTGTACCGTATGTATTTACACACTAATGGAGATCTGTCACAAAATAGACAAAGGAAACCGCTAAAACTTGTTCACCTGTGGTAGCCTGCTGCGGTCCCTGTCCTGGGGGGTGGATGGTTGCAGTGATACGGTTGATGTAGAACCCCTGAGGTCCCATCTCCAGCATCACCAGGGGGTCAGAGGGCGTACCCCCTCCTCCGATCACCTGGCGGAACGTCGTACCTGGGGGGGGGGGGATGAAGTGTTGTGTTAAGTGTTGGGAATTTTTCTACTGTCGAAGCAGCATACTTTCTATAATGTTAGCCCTATCTGTACTTCATCCTTACTATCCCACAATTGAGAAAAATCTATATACACGTACTTCTCGATGTTTTTTCTAAAATTTTTCCATAGACCAAGGCATAAAAAGTAAAGTACATCATCTATCTCAAACTGCTACTATACTAGTAATATACTAGTAGTTTCAAACTAGCAGGTGCTGCCAATACACTTGAATACATTTCCCATGTATTGTCTGTTGGGGTTGACATTATTTCAAGGACAAACTGCTGTGTGCTACCTGCTTGTCCCTGGTTGGTCTGTGTGGTGGTGGTGGTAGTTCTCATCTCTGTTGTCTGTGTCTGTGTCTGGGCACTGGCTGATGGAGTACCATCTGTCTGAGTATGGGCAGAGGCCAGGTCATTATTGGCTGCTGCAGCTGCTGCATCCTGGGAGCTGGAGGGTGCAGCTGTGGTATCTGGTGCATGGGCAGTCTGGGTAGTGGCAGTGGACACCTGTGCCTGAGGTGCGGGCGGGGTCTGTGAGGTTGCTGAGGAGGTCTGGGGTACAGCTGACGTGCCGGTTGACGTACGGGAGGCAGCAGCGCCCATACCAGGAGCAGATGTCGTAAACGTGGCCTGAAAAAAGCGCAAGATCAAATGATAAACTTCGTATAACAACATTTACAGTGTGAGTGAAACAGATACCATAACAAACAAGAAAGTTTCAGTCTTTTCTCTTTCAAATTGTCTACTCAGTGTATGGCTTTTTGTATCCCTATCAAAACACATTTTTTTACTGTCTAATCTTCTTTGTCTTTGGTTGAACTTGAAACCTAATGTTTGAGACAAAGTGTAATACTTGTTTTCAATAATTGATAGTGCAACCCTTAATTGCTGCGCGGTTATGGTCTTTTAACTTGTCAAACTTTTTTTTACCAGTATCTGTTAATCCAGCAGAATTTTGTATAGACTGTTCTTATCCTAGTGTTTTACATATGTGAATATGTCTCTTACTGAATTTGTTGTCATGTCACAACACAATTCAGCCGTTCTGGCTGCTAAGTTTGTGACAGTGTCGAAATAAACCATTCATACAATCCTAGGCCTGCTTCACTATGACTTGCTTTTATGATAGAAGTGAAATCATATATGTACATTTTACCATCAACCTCACTCATTACCATGTAATCCGAGGTTTTGGGGATGCAAATAAAAGGCTGCACTAAACTACCAGTAATCAATTTGAATAAAATTTGGGGGGTGGGGCATCTTTTTTTCCTTTACTTCAGTTACCAACTGACCTGATTTTGGAATTGCTGCAATATCGGAATCCGTATCTGGCTTGCCGTCTATTATTGTGTGAAAAACACAGTTTAGAAACACATAAACTTCAATAACACAACATTTACCTGTAAGTAACATACAACAGCCAAGAATGTTGGACCAAAAAAAATAGACAGCACAAAAAAATTAAATAAACACAAGGGAACATAAGCAACAAGGGACACAAACAAAAATCAAAAGAAACTAAAAAGTGTTAGTCACATGGACACCAAAACTCACCATAAAACATTTATTCTGTCAAGATGTGTTTGACATAAGGATTTTGTACGCTGGACAAATTTTTTTCATAAATTAAAAAAAAGGCTTCAAGCATGTCTTCTGTATGACGTTAATGCAATTTTTAAAGGCTACCAGATAGAGTTGTATGTGATCAACCTCACCTTTGGTTTCTTTTAAAGGCTGTCATATCACTAGTCACATTTATCTTTCCTATCTGTATAAAGTCAGAAGGTTTGCTTGGTACAAAATGATGTATATAATGTATATGAGGCATGTATATATCGCCTGTCTTGTCTGTTGTAATTTTTGATTTTGTACGCAAACTTTATGCAATTCAGAGAGTCTTATCTCTGCTGTAAGCTTTCCTTTTTGATGTCAGGAATAAAGAATTAAAAAAAAAAGAGACGACCTTACCTGTACAGGGCCCATCATCTGTATCTGTGGTGCGGGTGGGGCCCGTAGGTAGCGTGGCGGGGTACGGCTCAGGTCCAGCATGATGTCAGACAGGGAGTGGTAGGCGTGGGACAGGTTGTGCAGGATCTGGGAGATGATGTTCACTAGACGCTGGTTCTCCCGGTACTCCTCAAACTGGGACAGAAAAATCCAATGTTTAAAAACACCTACCGGTATGACAAGAAATGTTACTTTGGACTCCGGATGCAAAAAGGAGGATCGGTCGACCAACCTCAACTCTAAAGAAACTCATAGAATCTGAGGCCGGTTTACAAGGACCTGAACTTCTGTCTGCAATGGCTGACAAACAGTACTGGAAACAGAACTTCTCCTGCTACACCTCATGATGAGGATGACAAGAAATAATAAGCCAAATGGCACATGCAGCACATGGTTCTTGAGTTGGCCAGCTACCCTCTCTTTGCAGCCAATGGCTGAATTGTGAGGAGCTGACAATTGGTGAGACTGAATCACAAGGATGTGGCTCTCCCCAAACATGGGACCTCCATGTAACGTCCTATTCTATTTGTAACTAGTTAGTTAGTTAGTTAATAACCTCATCAGAGGTGAAGCATGATATCATGCTTTTTTTATTATCTATATATGCTTTTGTATAAAAAATTTTTTTTTACTGATATCTTTTTTTTTGCAGGCTGAACTTTGGGTAGCAAATGCCTGCCACATTTGGCACTATCTTGCAGCCACCAAAAGATCTGTTTGGAGATTAGTTGACACATGTTTTCTAGGGGCGATCCTGCCCACCTGTCCTGAGTAGTCCACCTCGTTCCTGAGGATCTGGTGGTACCGCTCCATGTGGGGACGCAGACGTTCGTTAAACGCCTGGATCTCGTCAAACACGTCCGCCAGGACAGCCGGGGCAGGATGTCTGCAGGAAACACATGGGTTTGGAATAAAAAATGGCTTCCCCTACACATTACTACAACATCCCTGGGGTAGAACTACATGTACTACAAATGAGTATCCATGTTATTCTTGCTTTAGTACACTTCTCTGATTCATTTTGGGTATCAAATACTTTTTAGAAGCAGAGCAAGTAACTGAGACCAAACTTCTGATTGCTTGTTTGAACCCTGATACCATGCCATTATAGCGTAACATGCAACTCAGAGGTCATGTAATAGAACAGATACTAGTCGAACTACAGATAACCTGCAAGTAGAAATTTGCACTATAGCTGGTTGCAAATTCTAACTACATGTAGATGGTTTGACTGAATAGAAACTGAGATAGATGTTGTATCTCTATCTTACTGTAGTCCTGGCCGTGCAGTCCCTGCAGCAGAACTGTTAGGTGCACCTGTAGCACCTGGCTGGCTGGTGGCAGAGGATGGCCCACTGGCACCAGGTGCTGCAGCTGCAGCTGTACTGGATGGGGCATCAGCTGTACTTCCTCCAGCCACCTGGAATATCACAATAAAAAGTTATATGTCGCCCTGTTTTCCAGATTTGAATTATAAATGTCTTTATAAACAGCAATATTATAAACTTTTGGATATCCATGAAGACCATTCATGTCATTCCCAGTGACAGTCTTCTTGTATATAGTTTATTGCCTATTTTCTTAATCAACATAAGCACTCAAAAGCTAATTTACAGCAAAAAGGTAAAGGAATACAGCCTTCGTACATTTATGAGTTAGGTCCTATTCATGTAACCTTGAGTGACCTTCTGGTCTTGTTAGATGTTGACCATTGAGTAAAGAGAAACAGAAACCCCCTCTGACCTGTGTTTGCCCCCCTGTCTGTGCAGGTGAGGCTGTCTGTGTGTCCATGGGCTCCTCAGTGCTGCCAGTGGCAGGGATGGACTCAGCATCACGTGACGTCACCCCGGCCCCCTCAGCTGCGGGGGTCTGTTCTCCCAGACTGGATGGCAGGGAGTTGGACCTTTGTCGACCAGGGGGGTTCTGTAACAACAGAAAATCAAGGTTGTGAATTTCTTATTTGTCCATTATTGTGAATTTCTCACAGATTCTATCAACGTATGTTTCCTTTAGTTTCTATCACACAACAGACATGTATATAGCAGAAAACTGAGGACAGAAAATGAGATGACCTTTGATAGCCTATTTAGGGACCTTTCTGCAACCTTTGACCTAATATCCTGTCAGTGTCCCTTCCATTTTGACCTCCATTTTGACCTTCCTGTCAGTCTGCAGTTACACAATTTACCCCTCATTTCCTGTGACTCTACATTATATAAATTATATCAATGTATTCAAATAACTACGGACACCCAAACAGACAGACAAACACACCGAAAACAAAACCTAAGTACATGGAGGTAATAAAAAGACTGACAAACCGACCTCCAGTCTGTTGAGACAGTCGTGTGCCTCGCGGATCATCCTCTGTGCCTGATCTATGCGCAGCTGCGACTCACTCTGCAGCTGTGGCATGGCGATCTGGCCCAGGTTTATGTGAACGTCGACTGAAGACCCATCCGGCTGTATGGGGAAAAACAACATTCTCATACGTCATATCTTCCGAAAATAGTTTTCATCAGGTTGGTAAAGTATAGGATACAGGAATTTTCTTTTACACGACCAAGATTTCTCACCTAAGTGCTTACGCTACATACATGTATAGCAGCGTGAAGCATGCACTTTTAACCTACAAATCACTGTGGTGTCTAGACTAATCATAAGTCTAAGCTACTGGTATAATAGTACCATGGCTTGAAATTCATTTATGCAGTCTAGTGTCTACTACTTGTGTACCTTTACGTACATAATCCTACAAAGATATCTAGGTGTTCTCTAGGTGTATCAGCGCACCCAGTTAAAAATTATGAGCATAGCTTCAAGGTTCCAGTAATTCTAACCCTGAGTACTGAATAAAAATGTATTTATGAGGCTTACCGAGGCTCTGGATGTGACTCTGGCATTCCTTCCCAGATCACCCATACCTGACAACACACTCTGCACCACGTTCTGAGATCAAAACAAAACATGTCATGTCAAAGTTTCCTTCTTTACTGCCTTCTTGGCAGACTGTCAGGGATGTACATGTAAAAAATGTATTTTTTTTTTTTAAATTCCTTTTTAATATTCATTGATATCCAACTTTTAGCCTGGTATCCATTCTATTCTAGTTCTGGTTTGTTTTTCTGATTGCTTCCCTTCTGAATAACCTGATATCATTTATCAGCTAGCATTATATTTCTCAGATTCTGAATCAGTGTAAGCTGTAATCAGACTTCTGGGTACTGTCTAATCCACATGTCCATGCTAGTTACAGAGAACCGTGTACAACTCTGAGCCAATCAGAGTTCATATTTAGATGCTATTATATTCAACATTTCCCCACTGCCAAACTGTACAGCAGGGTAGAAATCTTAGGAGTGAATCGGATGGATGCTAGGCTGAGCAACGTCTTCATTTGCAACAACTTGTGACTGGACCAAAATCAACGTGTGCACAGATGTCATCCATAAACTCCAGACTGTGAGGCTTACAAAGAAATGAGAACGGCATTGATTTCATAAAAACAAGTTTGTACGGCTTAAACAGCAGGAAATGAGAGTATGGAAGCACAAACTTGGATCTGGTTGGGATCCACAACATCTGCTGGCAGCGTGAAGGCTCCAATCACAAAGTTGTTGCCATTCCTGTCTCCTCCTGCTTGTGTCGTGCCTGCTGATTGGCTGGAGCTGGAGGAGGCTGATGTTGAAGTCGAGGCTCCAGCTGCTGCTGAGGATGTCGGGGGCTGCCTGGGGGGAGGGGCTCGCTCCACCAGGTGAATCACGTTACCATGGACATCTGTCAACAACAAACAAACAAACAAAACTTAGGGCAGATGTTTCCCATGAGACATCATATTTCCCATGATGCCTTAGGACATGAAAAACCTTGTATGACAGCCAAAATGACTTTTCACTGGTCCTTCATGTAAACAATTATAAAAACCAACAGTAAAAAAATCATTTTCAGTTGTACCTTGTTCATAGAGCCAGAAATCAAAATTTTATGCTTTTATCACAATGCAAAATAGAAGAAAATAACAACAACTTCCTAGTGGTGATTGCAGTGGGATGGCTCATACTAGGAAAATATTTTTCTGGGCAAAATTTCTGGACAAAGGAATACCAGTCCATATACATACGTGCCACATGGTGATAATGGTGGAAAATGTTGGGAATACCACAAAATCCATGGGAAAGGGAGGATTACAGTCTAAGACAGCTAGAGTTTGTGTCATACAGAAAAAATCCCACACCACAACCTGTGGCTTTTGTACCCATGCTGGGAAGTGTCTGACTAAAAATGCATGCTTGGCTGGAAGACTGTTCACACTGTCTGCCTATAAAAATACTGGATATCCACAGAAGAACCCAGACATAAACACATTAATGCCTGTAGCCAGCCAGAAGTGACTTAAACATTCAACCACCTCATGAATATTCATTAGCACTTCCTATACGTCAGTGTGGTGTAGACAGGACTTTAAATTCCACCTGCATACATGTATGCAGATTAGTACAAGTAAATTGGAGCTGTGTTGGTATTTCTGATGTCTACCTGCACTAGTTCACGTACCGGGTATTTTTTTGTTCCCAAACTTTCCTTAACCATAGTTGCATTTAAATCCTGATAAGTAAGACATCATGAATGTCTTTAGAAGATTTTCAATAGAAAATGAGCAGTGCAGGTAAAAGCTTATACTCATGTGTTACAGGCAATTTTGAATGTCATGTGCACATGTGCAGGTATACATATGCAGATACAATGAACAGGTAATTCAAGCTCTGTCTAAGAAGTTCGTTTTGAAAAAAAGAAGTGGCAAATCCATGAACCAACTAAAGATATCAAATTGTTGCAGCCTTACTGTACTCCTTCAGCTTGGTGTGGTCCTTAAGGACACGGCCCTGGAAGATGAGTCTCTGCTTGTCTGCCGGGATGTTCACAGACTCCGCTATCATCTCCTTAAACTCACGTACCGTCATCTACAGAACAGTTAGTGCAGTTGTAGAGAACAAACTATCAATTTGAGGCATTTTATGAGGTATACCAAAATGACTATGTACATTCTACCACTAGTTACTAGTACCAGTCTTATGGGGCAAGGTGGTTTTAAGGTCGAAGACTTAGAATCTAAACGTTCTGGATAGGAATCCCTAGTAGCAGGTACAATGTACATGTACTAGTGCTGTACCTTATCAAGCTTTAGTAATAATAGAGGGCCTGTATGGGGGTCAGTGATTACGAATTACGCAAAATTTTTGCCACCGATTAAGAATTACGTTAAATTCTCAGAGCTGATTACGACTTTACGCTTTGCGCCTAATGTACTATTACAAATTATGTTGATTTTTGGGGAAGCTGTCTACGGATTACGAAGACTATTAAAGGCCTGTAATCTTTCATGGCTTGTACCTATTGTACAAAACCATCTACGGGTGGTTTACCATTCATCATTTCATGTGGAACAAACAAATAAACAAATAAACAGATCTTCTCACCTCCTCCTCCACCGTGAAAGGTCTGGAGACTGAGTCCAGAGTCTTCACAGTAACCTCCAACATCCTGGCTCTAGGATCACTGCCTCTTATGTAACTATGTGTAAACACCTTTCCAGCACTACAATGATTGTTCCAACCCTGTGTACATATAAAAGATGACTTTGTGTCACTGGTGGGAAAATACTTTATCAACACATACTTAAAAATACAACATAATGAACTGTATATGTAAAAGAAAAGAGACCTCTACTAATACTATGAAGTAAATAACTTATAATATAACGTATAAGTAACACACTTTACAAGATTTCAAATACATGTAGTATACAATTTGGATTCAATATAAACCTCATGAATATGGCACCCCAAGACCATGTATGGATGACGTATCTATGGACATTAAAGTAATCTTTATAATAGAAATTCGATAAATTATGCATCACTTTCACAATCATAAATTGACAATGGGAGGGGGACAGTGAATCTACAAAAACGTGATAATGCGGTTAACTCTACCTTCCCGTTCTATCTCCAGCAGCTAGACGATTGTTGGAACCCTAAGCAACACAATATGTCATTCTTTTGCGGCCTAAAATGGCAAAATGATGCTAGATTTTGATATAACCATTTCGTGGTGAAATACCTTGTTACACTTCCGAAGAAAACCTCGCTCTCGATTCGGGACAGAAAAGGTCAAACTTTCACTTCCGCATCCGGGTTCCTCTGACGTCACGTGCAGACGACAAATGGCGGAAAATTGGGAGGTTTTCAAAATTTTCTCTGTGTAACCCGAACTATTTCTTGCACTTTAGGAAGGAAAGAAGTAATGGTGCATGACTCAGCGAGCTGTTGTGGTTTAGAGAGATAGCTGCTTGCCGGAATGGGAGTGAATCACGGTAAATGAGATGGTTGGCGAACAGGAATTCCGGTTGTTTTGCAAATTTTGTGCCGTGTGCGTGTGTGTCGTCTGCAACTTTTGTGTGGGACACGCTTGGCCTCAAGCGTCAAGTTTAGAAGTTTTCAGGCAGACATATGGTCCCTGTCGAACTTGCTTAACCCAATGGGGAGTTCGCCTACGACCAGTAACATTGTAAATTCCTTCCCACGCTGGCTATAAGTGGTAGAATCGCTAGTTAACCGACACTTCGCCCCCTTTCCCTTTGCCCCAGGAAATGTGGGAATGTCTAGCCTGTGGTTTCCCGCCTCCTCCCTATGATGGGTTTGACCTTGGCCAAGGCGGTTCGGCATAGCATTACCCGGGTCCCTGTACAGCCGGCCCGGGGTTAACCTCTAAAAGACAAGCTGTGTTCTCTGATTAAACCTGGCGTTGCCAGTAATTTTAACCTCTCCTCAGAACAACGGAGACCCGGGACACAGACTCCCCGCTGGCTGTCCCACCTACACTGTGTGGTCGTCGTGGCCCTTCCGGGTCAAATCTGGATAAATACTGGGGTCTGGGCTGAGCGCCAGAACCTCGGCAGACGTGCGGCTCTGCGGGCTGAGAACTTCGGAACGTAAGGTAAGATGCCCCGACAGTTCTGCTGAATGTTCGCTCAAGTTTGCTGAAGTGAAATCTTACAGCGCGAGCTAACGGTAAGTAATCTAGGCAGGGCCTGTGATTTACTAGGTATTGGTGTTTCTTGCTTCTGTAATCCGTCCATGCCCACTTCCTACTAGACACTGTTTGACCGTTATGTGTGAAACTGAGGATTTGGGAAGGATATATTGGTCTAATGTGCCAGGTTAACATGTACCCGGCAGACACACATACACTGCTCTGAAGGGGGCAGCCTCTTCACGGTTTTATTGGAACTTCGTGAGAATCATCCATCCCTGACCCTCTCTACACATGTGCAGTCCCTTTGATCGTGTACAGCTAGAGTCAATAACACATCTTCTCCACTTTCTGTTCCAAAGCTGACCTTAGGATTTGGGTAAATACAAGACCCTGGACGTAGAGCAGTTCTAGACATCCTGAACTCTGGACTGTCCTCCCAGGCTCCTCTGTATGCGGTTAGGACCACACTTTTCAAGGAGTTGGTAAGTGTAACATTATACAAACTGTTTCCTTTTCTCAGTCGTCACAACAGTGTCTAAAGCGTTTGCGTAAATTGGAGCAAAATTTTGATATATTGTAGTGGATGCATCCCTGTTACCCTATGTTACCCCACTATAAAATAGAAGGTTGTCTTTGTGACTTGTCTGGCTTTGGGACCAAAACATCTACATGATGGGTTATTAGTCAACTAGCAGTGGGGTTCAGATAACGTTTCCAAGTTCGTGCCTCCGCATACCACACATCACTGTTCATTTACCCTAGCTCTGCACTCAAGCATCTAAGATTTCAGTTAAACCCAGGACTTAGCTTATACTTCTCTGAGTTGACATCAGACTATTGTTTTGATCGCTTCCTGTGGTGACTTATGCCAAGGGAATATGTAAATTCCTTCACTAATGAAGGAACTCATTTAACCGTCACTTCTTATTCAGGACAGGAAGAACAAAACGTGTTTGTGCCCTGTGGCACATCGCCATGTGTGACCTCATCATGCATCAAAGATTTCTGCCCCTTGGGTGGTTATTAAGCGCTTATCTCATTAGAACTTAAGAATCTTTTTCTGCTGGCTCAAACTAGTTCAGACAGCTTGGGTTTGGTCTCCTAGGCCAAAAGTAAGGGATCATTGGGGCAAAGTAAAAGGCAAACAGAAAAGTACCAGATATTGAGATAAGCAATGCAATGCTCTAACGTACACAATGTACCTACTTGGTAGATCACAAAAAGTGTACAAGCAAGGGCTCTGTGTTATACTTGCCCCTTTCCCTGCCTATCCCTTGTGCTTGGTCTACATGACTAGGACATGACAATCGTATATCATAGCATAGACAGTTATCAGAAACTGTAAGGTGAAACCAATATTCCAGGAGTAACCTTTCAAAGTTAAAGTCTTGTTCCCAGAAATCAGCCAACTCTCATTTTGAGTGTTTGGGAAAAAGAGCAAAGTATTTCTGCTGTGTTGTTAAATCAAGTTGTGTGGCAGAAGGCTCTGGGACCACTTACTTGAAGCAAATGTAAAGCACATTTTCTCCGTCCCAGAGCCACTGTTCCCTGAGCTTGCACCATGACCTTGATCTCTTAATGGTCGACAATTACTGAAATTGGAACTAGGGACACCTTTTCACAAGCTCTCGTTTTCACAGTGGTAGATCTATATAGACTTCTTTGTGCGGTTTTGTATGTAACCTTGCAAATCAATTTGCGGCCACTGATTTATCTCTAATTTGATTTAATCACTGGTTAGTGTGCTATTAGCCCTTATTTCAACCATGAAATCACCCATTCCCTCCAGCCAGTGAGTGTAACCGAGAAAACAGTTTCTGGAAGACTTGGTTCCAGACATTCCCTTTCTTCCTTCCCATCCTTCCGTTCTTGCTAGTATGTGAAGAAAGGAAAGCAATCAGGCACTGGTAGTAAACAAACATGTACACATGTGTTGACATCAGGCCACAGCTTAGCCAGAAGATCAACATTGTCCTCTCTCTCCTGTGTTTTGATTTGTCTCCCCCAGAAGTCTAAACAAAATAACAGATACACAGCCATCCCAAACAATTGTAAAAACTTGTTATTGTTTGCTTTCAGTCTCCTCTTTCCGAGCAAGTCAATGCTTTCCTACATTCTCTAATGAAAGAGTAGTGGGAAGGAAAAAGAAGAGTCTCATTGGTTTCAGCTGCTTAAACAACATTTCTTCTCAGTCTTACAGGAAGGGTAGGTAAAGATAAGTACGAAGCTTTACCATTGCAGACAGCCGGTCTGGTTTCTCCGTGTCAGGAGAGCAGCCGTAAAGTTCAAGGGACTTGCTCTGCTATGAAAGGTATGCTTAATTCAGTGCTTAGGTCCCTGTGAAAGACAGCTAGTGGCAAGGACTCATGATGTTGACATTTTAGCTTTTGTGAGGATGCTTTGAAGGAGGCAGTTAAGAGACAAGCTCTCCCCCACTCCCAGTCAGATCTCCAACATCTGTATCTGTATAGCCTGTATAAATGACCTTCACCGTAACAAACCAGCTACGCAGGCACATGGCATGGCAGTAGCTGGTTATATTACACTGAACGACCTGTCACGCCTAAATTTGTAACCTTAGGACATCTAACTGCTAGCACTGCTTGAAGCTAAAGTTATCAATGATAGCTTTAGCTTTTTTCAGGTGAGGATGCCCCTACTGTACTTGGTGGCAACCAGTTATACCTTAGGACAGTTGCAGAAAAAAAAGGTTTATGAAGACTTCAATCCTGGGTTGATAAGTCTGGTCTGTAAAAAATGGCCTGCCATCTTTACTTTTAAAGCTGCTGTACAAGAGGACTGACACCTATTTGTACAGGGGAATTTTCCCTGAACTGACGGCATGCAAGGAGTCAAGTTGATACCTGTGGGAGAAAAGTGCTCAGGAAACGTCTCAGGTGCAGACGTTACCTTGAAAACATCCCTTCAGCACACCTGCATGGCACATTCACAGGCTACTTTACTCTGCAGCCCCATCCCCCAAAGTGATGAGGTTACAAGCAGAAATTAGTGGCAGACCACTTGAGGGTAATAAGATAGTAGGAGAATTCTCCAAGGGTCAAGTGCCCTACATCTCTTGTCAGTGAACTCCCACATGTTATCAGTAAGTGTGTCTTGCAAAGGTCTGACCCTTTCCCATCCATCAGGGTCTCAGCAGTGCTTCTGTGTGACCTCCTTGCCAAACACTCTGGCCATCAACGCTCCTGTACCCCCTCCCTCTCTCACCAGGCAGCTGTGAAGAGTGGCAATTACACCGACACAGACAGGTAAACACAGTTAAGGTTAGTGATCGTGATCTCTGCAGTTCACTTTGAAAATGCCAGCCGCCATCAGAGATGGGTGGGGACTGAAAGGTTTAGATGCCACACTTAATGGGCACAACTGACCCCCTTCTCCTCTCTTCTCAGCCTTCCTGGCTACTGTAAATCCATTTATTTTCATGGGGATTTGATTCTGCAGTAGGAGTGCAACATAAGTTTAAGCAGTGTGTAGTGGAGAACAATACTGTAGCACAAAAACCCTTCTATATCCACAGTGAGAAGATTTTGCAGTGGAGGGGCATGGCGAGTATAAAACCACCATGAATATTTCAAGATTTACAGTATCTTTAACTATTCACCCTTCAGGTTAAAGTAGTGGGTCCTCACATTCCTGAAATGTGGCTCCTGCTACCATGTTGACAATTTCAAAGTGCGTTTGACAAGAAACAAAGTACTTGCCACACTCTCAAAGTTCCGATTGTTTGTTACGATATAAACAAGTGCTTTTGAGAGACTTGAGAGCGCCTGCATATGGTATGCTTATGGTTATACGGAGTCAGAGCAACATGTGAACAAGTCAAGGGTCTTGTTTTTTGATTTTAGTATAATCATCACATGACCAACTAATTGTTAACATATTTCTTCAAGCAGTCCAAGGCCAGATACTACATCAGGCTATTGTTATAATGATTAATCATCTCAAGCCTACACTTGAATGACTCTCCTGGAAGTGCCAGCAGGCCTTCATTGGGTTTCAACCACTAATTACTGTTGTGTAAGTGCCTCACCTTCAGCTTTGTTCTGATTCTCATTGTATTCATTCTAGTAAACATGATCACACTTAGCATCTTCTGTCTGGTGTAAATAAG